GCCGTTGAGGAGTTTGGTACCGGATGAGGGGAACGGACGGAGGCGACGCTGATGAGGAGAAATTTATAGAGAGAAGCGGCTCTGTGAAATGATTTTCAGAATTTTAGGGTTGAATTAGGGATGAAATATTTTGTATTAATATTATATTTAAATTAAAACATGAAATCTGCATTAAAAACCATCTTACCTGACTTTTGCATTGGGATTTTTAAATGCCTGGAATTGTGTAATTTCCACACAAATTAAATAGTAACCCATTTCGCTATTGGCCCAAGCCCGTTACTTCTCAGTAGCTGTCTGACCCAATATACACAAATTGGGCCTACTTTAAAATGTAGGGTTTTAGATTAACCCTCCTCCCACATAAAACGCCAGACGCGCCTCAATCACACAATTACCAGCAGAGCCCGTTCGGCAGTTCCAACCCCGTTCCAAACGCCGCTGTAAGTGTAACCCTAATAATTCTTCATTTGATGTCTATTCCTAATTATGTTGTATGTAGATCAGCCTTTGTTGATATGAAAATCATTTATATCAAGTCCCATGTTAACGCGTTCTTATGAATTCAAGTGAGATTGAAACTTCCCAGTTGAAACGTTTTCTTTTGTTTGCTGGGAAATGAGTGTAGGAAAATGAAGTTAAAAGGTGCTGAACGCTTTTAGGTTTTTCTTTATGTAGTCTGGGTACCTGAAAAATAATATGATTTGAGCTTATTCAACTGCTTGAGGGTGTTCCGTGGTTTACCTTATTTTTCATTTTTTTTTTTGTGTAGCCTATATGATTTTCTGTTATCTGTGTCAGGAAAATGAAAACTTACGAATTCCGAATTATACCTGGTTTCGTGATATTTAGAGTTTGTTGTTTTTGCTTGTTTCTGCTTCTTCTAATTCTAATATCCCTTCAATAATGACAGCTACTTTATATTTGTCATTTCATATATATGCAGTTTCCATCAAAAACTATATTTGACTGCTCAAGCAAGTGTTAATTCGAAAAGGCTTTTAGTAATTTTGTATGCGAAGAGATTCAATCTACCTAAAATTTTTAAAAGAAGTTATTAGTGCGTGTGATCTGTAGAGGCTTTGATATTATTCTCATTGTTGCTGATATATGTGATATTCATTAAATTCTTAATGCATCTGTTCAGGTGCTGTGAGTTCATCATGCAAATGGTTACTTTTAACACAGTATTTGTAAATGTAGCATATATATTTACTATGGTTTTCTTGGACTGTGTTATGGTCTCAAAAATATTAGTTATATGAATTATTCAGTATATATACACTTTAATCATGATGTGGATGACCAGTTTTCATTTTTTTGGATTTCGTTGTCTGATCTGATGTGCTGAAAACAAAATCATTTTTTTTTTATTCGCATTCATGTGGCTGCATATATCAGTTGATTTTCTAGATCCTGCTTTAAAATTTCTTTGATTTATCATGATTGTGGAGAGCCTATTTTTAGCAGGATGGGATGGCTGTTTGAAAGGTCTAATTATTTCTCTATCCGTTTTACAATAGGTAAACCATGGTTAAGTGATCTTTTTCATGTCGGCCCATGTGCAAATTCAAACCAGCCCCTATTTCCATTAGCCCAATCCCTAAACAAAACAATTAAGAGATCTTAAACCGCCGCAGCTCAATTCATATACCAAAACCCAAACCCAAATCCAAATCAAACACCCTAAATTCTCCATCATTCTCTTTCTTCCATCACTCCGTCTCTCTCCATCTCTAAGCAACGCCTCCTAGTCATCCTTGGATTGCACATCGTGTTCTTCTCAAAATTAACGTTTTTTCCTTCTTTATTTTGTATGTCCCTCTCCATTAATCTGCCTTTTTTTTTATTAGTTTATGTAACTGAATAAATAATTATGTTGCAGTAGATTAACTATGTCTAGAAGTCTATTAATTGGGTAATTTATAACAATGATGGGAGAGATGATAATTTGTGTCCAAATCGGAATTATCTATAACATCTGTGTCGTAGTAGTATGGAATGATATTGATATAAAAAAATTATAGATGAAGTGGCAAGTTTATGTGATAAAATGGAATTTGATGGTATCCTCGTATAGCAATTTTCTTTGATTTCCATTAACAAAAAACAAACAAAAAAATTATAGTTTCCACACCAAAAAAATTCTGACATTCTCCACCTTATTTTTATGTGTATGTAGTAGATTTTTTTAAGCATTAAATATGAAATTTATCTTAAAGTTGTGTAGAGTGCCATGTTTTACAATTATTTTGTGGCATGGCAATGTGCTTAATTTATTTTTCATAGAACGAAAATTTGCAGAGAAGATAGATTTATATTTTATTGTGGATGAATTTTATGTTCCAACGTCATTGGAGATACAAATTTGATGAAAATTACTTTTAATGTTATGTATGAATTTATTTTAACACTGTTTGGGCTCTATTTTAATGGAGTTTGAAGATAAATGTATTTTGAAATAGTAATTTTTTGAAGAATGCGTGGTTAAAAAGAAGGAAAAGTTTTGAGTTTACGTGTAATATTATTTTATTGAAGAATATGTGATTGAAAAGAAGAAAGAAAAATGCATTAAAATTAAAATGGAGCTTAAACAGTGACATTATTGAATTTCTTAAATTTCAACCCTTGCGTCTAAAATTTCTAGATCCGCCTCTGCAGTGTGTGAAGTTAAACCATCATGGTAGGCTTTAAGAATCGGTACATGGTGATGGAAGTGTTTCTCGATCCCAGTAAAGATCTTGGCATGGATGAACCTGTTATAATCACTCAATTCAATTTATCAAAAGCAATCAAAGACAGCATTCTCACCAACTTTGGGGAATGTGGGCTGGCCTCATCTCTTAATTCATTTCAAGGTGAGGTTGGAAAGATTTTACTTTCTTGTCTAGTACCTGATCATGCATTTTCCATGAAATTCCTGTATATCAGCTACGAGTTTGAATTTTTGTCATCTGCAGTGAAGTATGTGAATCCAATTACGAAAGTTTGCATCATTAGAGTTTCAAGGGAGGAGTACCAAAGAGTTTGGGCTGCGATCACCATGGTTAGAAGTGTAGGAAACTGTCCTGTGGTTTTCAACCTACTTGATTTGAGTGGTGAGTCACACTTCTACAATCTGTTCATGGTTTATTTACTTTATTGAAGATAGTGGTCGTGCACTTTGACTTTATTGGTGTGCTTTTGCAGTGAAACAAACTATCTTTGCTCTGTTAAATCTGTAGGTTATTGTCATATTATCTACAAATGATCTGATAAGCTTTAGTTGACCTAAATGGTTCATTAGACATCTGCAAAGTCTTAACTTTGAGGCATTAATGTCTTAGCTGAAAAATAAGTAGAATTTAGTTTTGAGTAATTTTTTTTTTAACTTGAAGACATGTTTGGCTAGTTACTTTTTTCTTATCTTGAAAGTAACTCTTACCTTACATCGAAAGTAACTTATTTTCAAAATTGACTAACAAAACAGTTACTTCTTTGAAAACTAACTTATAAGGAAAAAAATTTAAGCTTAGCCAAACACGCTGAAATACAGGTGTTTCGTTTTGGTTTGTTGACTTTATTAAAGATGGAGGGTAGAAATACACTTTTGCCATGAAAGATATCTTTAAAGTCTCGAGCATTATGTAAGTTTGAATGGAAATACCTATGGTTTTGATAGGCTTCAATGTTGTATGAATTACCATTTCAACCAGTGTTTCCATTCATGCATAAGTTGCTGAAGATTTGTTTCTCATCAAATTAGAGTACTTTTGTTTTCTGAAAATATAGTTGCAATTTTCTGTGATTTTGGTTATACCTGATTTGACATCATTTCTTACTTAAGATAAAATCCAAGTATTTTAGCAAATTTTTTCTACCAAAAAAATTGAAGCTTTCTTTATAGAATTTTCAAAACTGTTTCCTGAAAGTAGAAAGTCAGTAATTTTCTTTTACTGGACTACATTTGGTGTATCCCCAACAATTGAAATCAGCATTTTAAGCCATTTTAATACTCCGCTAGGAAGTATCAAGGCCTGCAAAAATGCTGCTTTGAAGTGCGATGAATTGAAATTTGAACAGTACAAATTGCTGGTTGGAGACCGCCTTACACCTGATTGCCAGCTACGCATGCAAAACTACCTTGAGAAGATCAAACTCTTGGAGCATTGATGGTGGTCGATATTTTTCTATTTGGTGTAGATGATTGATAAGCCCAGCATATGAAGGTTTGTACTTTATTCTTGAAACTAGTGCATTCCCTGTTGTTTAACTGATTTGTTGTCTATGCTATTTCTTATCCTGTTGTTGCATATATACTTTTGAGTTTGTTCACTTTCTCTCTTACATTTTGCATTGCATATAGTAGACGATGATAGGATCAACTGGACACCAGTAGAGAACAAAAAGAAGCTAAATTTTTTGTTCATTGAACGCTCAAGTCCTGTTAAGTACATTGTCCCAAACATGAAGTTAGTACACTTTTCTTTTCTTTTTCTTTTTCCCGTTTCGCTTACTGTTTTGTCAGTAATGATACAATGTTTTATTGGGTGTGGAGATTGAGTGAGTTTGTGACTCTCGTGAATGCTATATTATTTGATGAAATGTGATTGGAAATTTGAATAAAGCTATGTGTACAAGGATGTTTACATTCTCCTTGACATTCTTCCTATGTGTCGAAATCTGGAACGTGATAGAATGTTGTAGAAATCAATGGCTTTACGGATGCCACGTGGACAAGTGTCAAACTTAATGTATAAGAGGATGTACATGTATCATGATTGTGATAATTTATGGTTCACCACCTCCATGCAATCTCTTTCATAAGCTTTGATGAATTAATTTGAATTCTAAAAATCAAATGACTTTATTTGTATATGTATGGTTCTAAATGGCAAAGAAATTGAAAGAAGTTTCTGCTAGTACACAATTTGAATATTTTTGGTATGCACTATTTTACAAAATGGACAGGTTTAAAAAGGAAAAATAATGAGTAAAAATTGTCTGTTTTACTGGCCATTTTGTCGAATACATTTGTTATTGTCATTGGCTGCCTTTCCACGCATGAATCAAACAAATAACATCTTCCTTGGTGATTAACTGTCTATATGATCTGTATTTTACCTGTCCTTTGCAGCTGAGGTTTATGTCTGTTTTGACTCATCCGTTTTTGCCAGGAGTTATCAACCGAATATGGCCATATCTATTGCAACTTGTAATTAAGAATGCAGGAGATAAAGGAATGGATGCACAAGTTGAAAATTTGTGTGATATCAAAGGCATCGACTCCACTGTGAAACTTCAGCGGCACGATTAGTTTTCTGGACCTAACATATTAAGAAGTACTAAACGTGGCGTGGAAAGACTTGGTACTTGGAGTGATCCTAATATAGCTAGCAATTAACACACAATTGGGAACAACATTTCAGCTACCATTATTATAGCACATTTGATCCTGTTTAAAAGGATTATTTTAGATGTTCTTTCATGCAGTCAGTGGATGCGTTTAGCTCAAGAAAAGCTGAACAAAAATATTTTATGTTCAAACATGGTATGTATATGGACATCCAAATATTCAATAGAACTTGAAACCTTATTGTACCTTTTGACTCATTGACATATGCCTGCGACTGGTGGATCATGTAGTGCGGAACCTTTTATTCAACCTTATGGTTTGAGTCTTAAAGAAACCTTTGGTTTAAATGAGTGCTACACAAAGTGAATTCACGAGGTTGAAGAGTTGTATAGTATGTACATTTTAACTTCACTATTTCAGTGGGTTAAGTGATCTTATTTTAAACTTCTTTATACCATCAAAAGCAGTCATGTGATGACTGGCGGCAGCAACCATTCAACCAGGCTTATTTAGCAGACAAAAGCGAGTTTTGTTTTTCCACAAGTTTTTCCATACATTGGTTTGCTTAGTTTAATGTACAATCAACGGCCATGCAATTATACTCATCAATGTGCCTTGGAAAATGCAGTTGTGCTACAACACTTGCATCAATGACCGCGAGATTGACACGCTACACACATATGGGGGGTTGGAATTATTTTATTCATAGGGTGCCCACGTCGACCATGTGAGAGTGCGATCACCAGGAGTGTCAATGATTCGGATCATTTGGCTTTTTCCTAAAGCCTATCACATGGGGGGGCTAGCTCAGCCTCCTGTATATAGGGCTCCTGTATATGAAGCAAGTGGCCATGTGCCTTTCAAGAAAATGACCATAAATTTTCTTGATAATACTGAGACAACGGTTGATGAGGGAGTTATTTCTGGTCATTAGAGCTGAGGGCATTTTACTTCTCTTTTCCTTTATTTTTGTGGAATTTTGGGCCAATCCCTATGTTTTTGTGCTATTCTTTCAAGGTTTTTATTTTTGATTTTTTTTATTTGCTGAATTTCATGAACGTTACTTTTTGTCTTGGGTGGGGTTCAAAGTCTCTTGAAGAGGAGAAGGGTGAGGAGGCCAACTGAGAAGATGAAATTGCCCTTGTGGTATTGTCGACACTTGACAAGAGTAGACAGTACAATAAAAAGAAAGTGTCGTAGAGTTCAGTCGAGGTCATCTTCTATTAATGTGTCTATTGTTGTGAAACAAGTTATAAGGTTGTTTAAGAGGGCAATTGGGATTCAATCCAAGTTGATTCGAATTGCTCATTGACCTTGTACTTTGGTTCAATCGACAAGAACTTGCTACATGTAAACTATGAAGTACACTTTAGTTTGCACTTTTCCACGTGACATTACCTCGGTTGGACAGTTTAAATTTCAAACAATTTTCCAATCCAATTAACACTTCTTCTCTTTACGTCATTTCTATGTATTATCTCTTTGATGAGATTATACCGCCTTAATACATGTTTAGATCATTGATGAGACCTTAGTTCCTTTGCTTTCGCGACGGAGGGAAAAATCTTCATAACTAAACCGCAACATATTTTCCCAATAAAAAGTACTTTGTCTTGAGCAATGATTTTTATGAGGATGTATGATTAAAAATTATGAAATTTTTTTGAATTTACGTATAAAATATTTTATTGTATGAATATGTTATTGAAACTGAAAATGTAGGAAAAAGAGTTTTCAAATAATGGTTGTCAAACATAGCTGAATATGAACATTACAACCTAAACTAAGCATGTTCAATATTGTTGTTTTGTTGTATTGATTGAAAGACGACATTTTAATGAAACTTTATATAAAGTCGGATAGTTTTCAAAAAATGTAAAAGTTAATTTTTAAAATTTTCCAAAAATAGATTATCGCAAAATAATCTATTACTTTCTTATCAAAAGTTTTGATGAGCGTTCATGATTCTTAAATTGAGAATTAATCTATGGGTACAAGAAAATACCACAGAATGCGTACAGGTATTTGAAATTGCTGACTTGCCAGCTTGCATTTAATTTACCCAAAAAATCGGGCCAACTCCAAAACCTGTTTGAACCCCAAATTGAAATTACAATTATTTCCCCAAAACCCCAAATCACAGAGCCTTCCCGAAAGGGGCAATTTTCTAAATGACCGGATTATCGATCCTATTTTCCACAATGGCCTATTCTATTGGAAGTACTATTTTACTCTTACTTATATTATTTGCAAGATGTATCCCGTATCTATCAGGACTTATTAATCAGGACCTATATCTATATTTTTCAATCTTTTAAACACCTTTAAATATTCTTTTTATCTTGATAATTTTTCAAAGATTTTAGACTGATCTTCCTTAGTTATGTATCTTTGAACTAATCCTTCTGAGACTTCTTCTTGTATATTTCTATGTTTAGTTATAATATCTTTTACCTTTCTTATTTTTCTGCTAGTTCTTACAGAATCAAATCTTATATTGTGCTTACAAAAATAATCTATATCTTGGTATATTTCTTCAATTTTCTCTTTGCTAATAGGAAATATATCTTCAGGCTTTTCAGCTAATTTAAATAAAAACGAAATATTTTTCTCATCTAAGTATAATCTAAGATCATTAGAAGTGGATGTGGATGCTTGTGAATTGTTCATCAAAATAATCAAAGCATAAGTATATAAAAGCGAGTAAATAACTTACAGTAATCAAATAGAAGTAAACGGGCTTTCTCTCCAGTATGCTTCTTATAGTTGCTTTGCATGTACTTAATCAATCTTCTGAATCAAGTAAAGATTTAAAATATTTTTTGAAATCATTTGGGTCCACAACTACTTCCGCAAAAGGCTTTTCAATTAAGGTTGCATTTCTCACTCTAGAGAACTAGCTGTGTTGCCACAGACGCTATCTCACAGCATCCAGAGTCTGTTTTCACCTCTATCCAAACTCTTTTCAGAATCAAGTTCTTACTTGGAACGAAATTTTAAAAGATAACTCACACACAAGGTGCTACAATTTTGTTAGAAAACTGCCATTTTTCCCCTAAACCATTCATCAAAGACGGGTACTTTGGCATGACTAACATCCATTCAAAATCAATGTTTTGAAAATCTTTTAAAATCTCTATCTGTACTACCGAGGAATCATGAGAAACTTAACGAAATCCTTTTATAAAAACTTCGTTGAACATAACAAACTTTACTTTGATATTCATAAACTGAAATAGTACATGCTTACAATCTATATTTACATACTTTTGGTACTCACCTTATGAAATTTAAAACTCCATAAGTGATTACTTCATTACAAGCTTTGCTATCTTCAAGCTATCTAATATTTTTCTAAATATAAGTGGTGTATACAGATTACAAAAGATATCTCTCTAAGATGTGTTTCTTCAGAGTGTTTAAGAGATAAGTTGTTTCGAGATATCTTTCTTCTTCCTTCTTGCCTCCTTTTACAGAAGCCTTTTAGAATCTTATCTTGACAGGTGTTTTCCACTTCCTTTTGTTGGATAGCTCCAAAGTCTTATCTCCACCGATTTCTTCATTATCTTCTTGTTAGGTGGACCTCTTCTTTTGAAATTATCTGCCTTATCTTTGAATTTGTCTTCCACTTTTGATAACTGGTGGGTAAGTGGTCACAATTATGGAGACTTGCTTGCACTATCTTCTATCTTTTAGTAGTCACAGTTTTTCTTTAATAAATTTCCTTATTAAAGTAGTGATAAAGGGCTACTTTTGTCACCATCATATTTCCATTTTCGAATCAAAGAATTCTGAAGGGAATTCTTCACTATTAAGAGATGCTTGACTCATGTCTTCAACTACACAATATTCACAATGGTGATCACTGTAGTTCCAGAGTAATTTGCACAGTTCTTTAGCCATATCTTATGATCCATATACTTGGTTGGAGATAATTGCAGATAATAAACGGTCAAGATAACAAATATTTTCTTCCTTTGTAGCCATCCTTGCATTGGAGTAGATAATATGGTTTTCAGATGGATAAACCCATATCTTTTCTTTTTCAGTAATTATCTGAGTTACATGTTCAAATATTTCTTTGTAACCTTTTGCTCTTCTGTAGGGCATCATATTTAAAATATCTTGATATCTATTTTCCACAACCTTTTGACTGGTTAGTAAAAAATATTGGTTTGTAAGTCCCATTTTGATAACATGGAACGATTGATGCATATATTCAAGAACGGGATCCCATTCTATAGTTGTTGAATGGAATCTGATGTATATATTTGTTGTCTTGACGACTTTAGTATATCTTTTAACAGCTTTCTTGATGTTGACTGGAAGTTGGGCTATTTCTTTGAGATCTTTGTTGGGATATATACAGAGTATATTTCCTATCTCAAAGCAGTTTCGTACCTGATAAGAGTGTAAAATACCATATTTTCCCCTCTTAACTATTGCATTCATGTGATTATATTATGTCAAAATGCACTCATGACTGTTATATTTTGGTTTAGGTTGCATTTTGGTGAAAAAGATGAAATTCATAAGGAACAAGTGAAAAATGACCAAAGTAGAAGATAACGAAAGTTCGGGGACTAAAGTGCAAATGATCCAAACTTGTGTCTAAGATTATGATGAAGATTCGAAAGTGTTAGAAGTCAAGTAGATGAGGAAAGAAGTCAAAGGGATGAAATAACATCAAAGTTTGATCAATACATCAATTTCCAATCGAAAACTAACACACCAGTTTTTAGTCTCATGTTGGGACCCATTTTTGACATCGAAAATGATCGAATTGGGATATGACTTCTGAACAAAAATTGTGGCCCTTTGAGTTAGCTATCCAATGCAATTTGAATCACCTCAATTGGACATCGGGAAAGAAAGTTATGATTAAAACACTGAAAGCTATCTGGGGAAACCATGTGGTCGCATGCCTTTCTACTATGCGGTCGCACACACCTATACCGAGAATTGAAGAAGCTGAAAGTGCATAACCATGTGACCACAATGAAAAAAACCATGCGGTCGCATAGTATTTTTTGGGCGGTCGAATCTCAGTTTCCTTATACGATTGAATCTCTTATAGTAACCTAATTTTCACGGGATATAAGTGCCCAAAACCACCCAGAACGAAAGGAGACGCCCCCAGACCTATTTCTTTCATCTTGGTGCTCAAGAAACTCCATGGAAAACTAAGGAACTTGGTGAAGCAACGAAGGATCTCAATCGATTTTGGTGATTTCGACATCTTTAA